CGCCGCAACCTCCCGGGACAGGCGTGGCTCGGCTACCGCGGTCTCCTGCCGTCAAGGCTGCGGGGTTGTGGGGCAGAACTTCGTGCCTTCTTCATGAGTTTCGAGGTGTATGTATTGAAATAAAGCAAAACAAAACATGTCCAATCACTTTAAGACGTACCCATCATTAAGGCATACGTTTTGCAAGGATTTTTCTTCAAAAAAACAAAATATATCTCTTTTTTTTTTTTTTTCTCCATCATTTCCAGCATTCACTTCATGCTGTTTTATGACCTCTTCATCTTTGCAGCTGCAGCCAGCGCTCAGAGAACGAAGAACCCCCGCCGCTCTCAACCCAGCAGCCCAGTGGGAGCGGTGATATTGCTTGATTTCCACACGCCACATCTCAAGAGCTAGCGATCCCTTAGGAAGCGCAAACGAACTTCACGAGAGCCGCATTTCCTCGCCATACAGCTTGGCGACCGCCCCCGTCTCGATACAAACATCAAATTAATCTCGCAAACGTTTGAAGAACCTGAGAACTGACTTAAACGCTTGAAACCCGCGGGGGGCAAAGGCAGGACTGACCCATGCTTCCTCCCTCCCAGCAGCAGCATCGCCGTGCCCGAGGACAGAGCTACTCCACGTTGAGCTTTGTTTTTATGTTCATGGCTGCCAGCTCCGCCACAAAGTAACGGAAGACGTGGGGCACCGGGACAACCTCGATCGTGTCCACCTCGCTGCAGACGGAGCAGGAGTACCTCCTGTTGCTTGTCACAGAGGAGGAGTGTGGCGGTTTCTCCAGCACAGGAGAGGTCATGCTGCCACAGCTCATGCAGACGTAGGCTACGGAGCCATCGGAGCAGTTGAACAGGCGGTCTTGCAGCAAGAAAGACGTGCCGTGAGCCAGCAAAGCATCACGCTCCATCTCGCCGAAGCGAATCCCACCTTCCAAGTTCCTCCCCTTGATGGGCTGGTTGGTGACAGCGTCTCGGGGTCCCGTTGTCCTCACCTGGAACTTGTCCGAGACCATGTGGCGCAGGCGCTGATAGTACACCACTCCCACAAAGATCTCCGCCTCCAGCTCCAGGCCGCTGATGCCACTGTACATCTTTTCCGTCCCAAAGAAGTTATAACCTGCGCTCACTAAAGTCTCACCAAAGTATTTCAAAGCGGCGTTCTTCTCCGTGAAGGTGAAGGGAGTGGCGTCGTAGGAGACGCCGTGCAGCGCCGCCGACTTCCCCGCCATGCTCTCGATTAACATCCCAATGGTCATACGGGAGGGAAAGCCGTGAGGGTTGAAAAGGATGTCTGGAACCATCCCGTTCTCCGTGAATGGCATATCCTCGACTGGCCAGAGCTGGCTCAGGATACCTTTCTGTCCGTGACGGCTGGCAAATTTGTCTCCGACAGTTGGATTTCGGGGAACCCTCACAGTGATGCAAGCCTTCTTGAATTTCCCGGTGCCACGGTCATTACTGCATAACCTGACGTTGTCTACAATGCCGACTTCCTTATTCCTGTGTAGGTGGAAAAACAATCACAGCAAAGCTGTCAGGTGCGCTCATGATTTTTAGCTAGGAAAGAGAAACGAAGGAAAAAAACCAAACCACTTCCTAAGTCTCATAAAATGCCTTGGGACAGCTGGGGAACAACATCGTTCTTGAGAAGTACTATTCAGTAGCGAGGGAAATCAGACCGCGTAAGAATTAGGGCAAGGAAGCAATACACCGGCATCACACAAGTGCCATTCATTTGCTTTTTCTAATACTAGAAACACAGCTACAGTTTTCAGGTGATCAGGTAATGTGCCACCCGTGATTTAAAATAAAGATCATTTAAACCTGATTCATCTGTATCGCACTTTATCTGAGAAACTGCACCCCCGTGCCATTTGTTTTGTGTCGAGGCAGCAGTCCCTCTCCCTACCCCCAATAAATTCACAGCATCTTGGTGGGATACCAAAATAAAGAACCGGGCTCGGTGCAAAGCAGAGAGGGAAGTTCAGAGCAGAAAGGGAAGGCGCAATGTGAGCTGAGAGGGCTTTGCCAACAAGTGCCTCTTTCAGGGGTGTGCTGCTGCTGCAGATGAACCCTCAGCCTCATGTTCCACGTGCTAGGCATCTGCTGCAGGCTTAATGGTTGTAATAGAGCCGTCAGCCCAAACTCTCCACTCCTTCTGGAGACGGCAGCTAAGGAACAAATACATTTTGTCCCATGTTAAGACAAGGTTACTTTTCGTCTTCTCCATTGAAGTCCTAATGAACACAGTGTTTGCGGAAGGCCTGTACCTAAGTTTAGCTTCTGTTTCAAAGCTATTATTTTGCCATGTCCAAATGCAACCAGGGTACAGGCCACCACAGAAACAAAAAACAAACCCCCTAAAAAAAAAAACAAACCAAAAAAAGAAAACTGTGCTTCATAAGCCTCTTCCAAGCCTGTTCAAACTTTCAAAGTCAAAGCCTCCCTCTCTTCCAAGCCATGCATAAGATCTAGCAGCGTATGCAGCACTTAGGACAGGAGGGAGAACTCCATCTTAAGGCTCTCTGGGGCAAACTGGGGGCAGGAGCCAACACTGAGAGCTGAGCTGGGAACCTCATCTCTCTGTAGGAACCCAAATAATTATCTGATTTGGACCAAGAATGAACAAAAGCTGAATGGTACAGAGGTAAAATGGCTCTCTGGGTAAAGAACCTCAACTAAGGCCGTGCTGGCATGAGAGAGCTGGGGAGCAGGAGCGTGGGGTGGGAAAGCCAAAGCGGGCTCCACAAGTGCAAGGACGAGGCTGAGCTTACAGATCCCCACTACCACGTGCCGAATCTTTTAGCCCTGCTCTACAACCAGGATGACTAATTCTACGAGTCCACAGCAGTCTCCCTGGTGCAGCTAAGGCACCGTTATATAAACAATGGTTTTCCCAGTAATGCCAGTTACTGTGTTACCCAAGCACTTCTCAAACTAATTTGCCTTCACAATGTGAATAACTACACACCATTATCCTCACTCTGTCAATGCTGTAGAGACACGGGTAAGACCTGAAGTTGTACAGACAACTGGGAGTGCAGGATGCATTTACATGTAGCAGTTTTTGTCAATGTTTTTGCTTACCTTTCCTGAAAGAATTAAGATTTTAATGAAAGCCTCAGCAGCCTTCTCTCTTTCAAATGAAGTTCAAAAATCTTACAAAACTTATCCTTGAAATATTGCAGGGGGAGGGAGGCGTATACTTGACACATTTTAATATTCTAGCAGTTCGGAAGCTGCAATGTGAATAAAAATGCTCTTTGAACCCCTAATCCTGTAACAAATTTGCTTACAGGGTTTTCTGGCAAGTCTCTGGGACGAGGCACTTTGTTTTGATTTTCCGTTTGGTGTTTCTTTGGGTTTTTTAGACAGAACACCTTATGCGAGTCAATTAACCAAAAAGCTACCGAAAACGACTGGGGGGGACGGGCAGAGGAACGGTCCTTGGGAGACAGCAAAACATTTCTGCAAGCTCTTTCTTTTTACCGGCCTCAGATTCTCTTCCTGGGATAAGTCAGGCTCTGCAGCATACACTGGCTTAGGGAAAAGCCGTGATACACACATGGGAGTCACCTACATGAACATGAACTTCATGCTCTCTCTGTCAAGACAAGGACACTATCACGTGAGGAGAAAAGGGAACACCTGGAGGAAAAGATACTGCAGCTCATCAGGGCCAGCTGCTCTCAAGACTGCTCACCAGCGGGCGTGGGGAGCCAGGAGGGACAAGCTGTACTTACGGATAGTACACCGTGAAGGTCTCCCCTGTGCTGAGGTTCACGAAGCTGTAGAAGGGGTCCCCAGGCTGTAGGATAGAGCCAACAAAAGGCAGTCCGTCGGCATCCAACTTCTCTGTAAGGTTCGGATCACCAGGCCTGACGCCAAATACTAAATTATCGCCTGCCCTGCTGGCTTTAAGGGCAAGGTCAATGCTCTCCATCTTGATAACACTTCCATAGGCAAACCCTCTCTGCCAGGAAGATTTGTTCACAATCTAAAAGGAAGCAGCAAAGGCCTGTTAAAGACTTGCTAATAACTTCAACAAAGAAAGCTTTTCCTTTCCGATCTGATGCTTACCTTTTTAACACTGCCTTCCTAAACAAAGCCTCCCAGCAAGCCACCGTTTCAAAAGG